TACAGAGGCAATACATTCCATTGCCTTTGTTTACATCGGCAACAGAGGACATTCAATACGAGGAACGGCGTGATGTCATCCCGGAGACTCAACGGTCGAAACTTCGCTACTCCCCGTAGCACTTCGGCAATGCTCGGAGTCCTCCATCTCCATCCATTCATAGCCGTAGCGGGAGCGCTGCGCCTCTTCCCCACTCGGTCATTCAACATACCTGGGAGCGGCACCTTATCGGCGGAATACAGCGCGGCAGTCGGTAACCCCACGGTCGGTAACTTGACGACAGGTAAGACAAACTCATGCCTGTCGTTACAGGGGGATCAACATCATACTAGGCTGACGTAGTAGAGGAGGCAGAGGCAACCGAGGAATTCATAAAGAATTTAATCAACAAAACGGTAGACAGTGTCATCCATTCGGACGAGCCTCAGCAACTGAAGAAGAGAATTACCCCGTGGCAGAGGAGTTTTGAGCTGGAGGTCAGGCTACAACTGAGTCGGTTAAAGAACCTGGAGAACATTATCGAGAAACTCAATACGGAGGAAATCGCCAGTCTGACCTCAGATGACATTGAGGTGCACAAACGCATCGTGGAAACTCGGTGGACTCATCGGGAACCCTAATGCCATAAATTATTTTAGTAATTTTGAGTTGAACTCAACTGCTGTGTTTGTTGAAAGACGACAACAGGACCATCATCAAGCAACAGACATTCATCAATCAGGAATCTGTCAACAAGTGATCCGGTCCATTATCGCGCCAAGATGCATCATCACAAATTAAATCATCTGCACGCCACTCATCGAGAGGAAGAGGTCAACGACCTCGCACGCACTTATTAATATTCAATTGCTAAATAAGTCTTTGTTGTTAAGCGAGAAAAATTTCCCATCTCGTTATTCCTTACTTTCCCTCATCATTGTTCTTTTTCCTTGGTTCCCAATTTCTTGAAATTCGCAATAAATCTTGAGTCCCCACATTTCCGTAGTTCCTCGAGATTTAATCTAAAATATATTTCCCGAGATTCCATGAAATTGAATCTAAAATTCTCCATCGATTAAATTGTTCGGACCTTTCTTTTGTTAGTTCAACTGTCGTTTTTGTCACAATGGAAGATTTTTATCATGACTACTTCACTCTCAATATTTGGGATCTTCGTCTGGAAACGTTTATAGCTTTATTGCCCTCTTCATGATTATTGCCTCTAATAATCGCTTGACCCTAACGCTTGCTCACTTTGTTTCCCTCAGATGCGTTAATCCCTTGCAGCTGTCGTACCCTATTCAGGTAGGCGCCACGTCACTCAGGACCAGACAACATTGCTTAAACGTACCATCTCTCTTCCTTTCAGGCCCAGAGTAATTTCCCGGCCAGTCGAGGCCAATAGAATTGATCCTCTTCCCTCCATTTCGAAAATTGACCTATCCCACCTGTGAGTCCCTCTCTTAAGCCTCTCATTAGCCTATCTCAACTCTAAATTCCTCTCTCAACCCTCATAGCTAAGTTCCACCATCTGGACTCTTACGAAATTTTTCGACTCGCAAAATTATTATTTTCTAAGTTAGTTAAAATTGAACTGTCAACCTGTAAACATCTCAACTGAAATCGCTCTTTAAAATCCAAGTGTATCCGGTAATATTAAGTGAACAAACTGTTAAACTGTTGATCATAATTTGGTGTTGTGTATCCAAGTTTTTTTTATTTATTGATAATTATTCGCTTTCTTAATCGTAATTTTCCCTCGTTTCAATCTAAAGGTGACATAAAGAACCTATTCGGCGTGTCAAGTTTCCCACGAATAATTTCGAGTCGTTGAACTGATGGGATTTACAACTCCATTAGAATTGTTTTTATAATTGTTACTTCGTGGCGAAACACCAAGTCAATCAACAATCAGAACTGCACCAAGTGAATCCGGTGGACATCATCAACGTTTTGGAAGTTCATCGACCTCAACAGGAAGCAACTCAATTGGTCATCTTGCCGGCGGCGAGGATCTTCGCCCACAATTACCATGGAAATTCAAGGCCAACACGGATCCTCATCGACCAGGGCTAAGAAATAACACCAGTCTCTGAGCGCTTGGTCAATCAACTTCATCTGGAGCGGAGGTTATCATCAGTTTTCATCGTCGGCATCGGAGAAACCTCATCGGGCAGCTCACGTGGTGTTGTGACACTCGCCTTACATCTGAAGCACGACCCCGCTGCTAAAATTAACACTGACGCCCACATCCTGAGCAAGCTAACGGCAAACTTACCGCCATTTATGTGCGAATCAATGATTCCTCATCAATTAAGAGAACTTCAACTGGCAGATCCCTAATTTTTAAAACCTGGGGCCATTAACATCATCATCGAAGCTGACTTCTACGGGAGAATCATCGGCGAGAGAATCATGAGGTTTAAGAAAAAGAATCTAATAGATTAGCAATGATTCCATCTTTGGCTGGACTATTTCGAAGCCAGTCTGCGGCACCGGCTGTGCTCCAAAATCATCGTTGAAAGTAACGAAACAGACGGCGAATCAACAACTCTTGGAACTCATGAAGAATTTTTGGACTCAGGAGGAATTACCGGATACGTCATCATCGTCAGTCTTGCCGAAGGCTCAAGCGGAGTGTGAACACCACTCTATCGAGACTCAACAACGAGATTCGACAGACGATACATAGTGCATCTTCCGTTTAAATCGTCGCCAACCGCCTTGGGGGATACAGCATCATCGGCCAAGAAACGGTTGGAGAAGCTCATACGACGACTGTCATCCGATCCGGATACTCATATATGCTATAAGAAATTCATCGAAGAATATGAGGCCCTGGACCATATGCAACGAGCATCATCAACATCGGAGCCGGGCCGGACATATTATTTACCTCATCACGCAGTGCTGAAGCCAGACAGTACAACCACGAAGTTGAGAGTGGTGTTTGACGCCTCGTATCGAAGCTCAACGGGGGTGTCGTTGAATGACATCCTCCACCCGGGACCTAAACTGCAAATCAACAGCTCCGATATTTTCATCTGGGTACGTCGGCATTGGCTTGTTTTCGGCACGGACATCGTGAAGATGTTTCGCCAGATCCGGGTACCCCAAGACGACTAGGACTATCAACGAATTCTCTGGAAGGACGACAACGGTCAACCCATCGAATATCAACTGACGACAGTCACCTATGGTACCAGCTGTGCACCCTGGCTATCGCTATGGGTGTTGAAGCAGTTGGTCATCGACGAAGGTCATCGATTCCCATTGGCCTTACCGACATTTATCAAGGGACGACATGTCGACGACATATGCGGAGGTGCAGAGACGGAATATCAAATGAAGGAGATCATCTACCTACTAATCAACATCCACATGACGGGCGACATGCCCCTGTAGATGTGGTGCAGCAATGTACAATACATTCTGGAACGACTCGGGCCCTCATCGGGCTTAGCTCCAACCATCGAATTTGATACATTAACAGTAAAGGCGTTGGGGCTCTGCTGGCAGCCTGACGCAGACACTTTCCACTAGAAGGCGAAGAGCTTCGAACACGGCATCGTCACCAAGCGCGTGGTCATGTCCGAGATTGTGCAAATCTACGCCCCATTGGGACTCATTGCGCTGGTGATCGCCTCGGCAAAGATACTCATGCAAGAGTTGTGGCCGCTCAAGGTCGACTGGAACGATCAACTGCCAACGGCCTTCAAAAAACGGCGGCAACTCTTCAGGACGAAACTTCGACAGCTGAGCACGGTAGCTTCATTTATTGCCCGACTCGACGGATATTCAACTTCATGGATTTGCGGACGCATCAAACCTGGCAATGGGCGCATCAGTCTATCTTCGAACATCATCAGCAACATCCGGAATGACTGTTACCTGGTCTGTGCCAAGACCAAGGTGGCACCACTCAAAAAGATAACCATACCAGGGTTGGAGCTAACAGCAGCTCTTCTGGTAACGTATCTTGTGGCCTACGTAAAGCAAACACTGGAGTTGGAAAACATACAAATCCATCTCTGGTGCGACTCATCAGTGGCCATCACCTGGATTAAGGAAGATCCATCCCGTTGGAAAGACTTCGTGCAGACAGGGTTCTGAAGATACGAGACACTCTGCCTTCTGCCACTTGGAGATACTTCAACGGCAAAGAGAATCCAGTGAACTGCGCATCAAGGGATCTATCACCGAAACAACTGGCGGAGCATCAACTGTGGTGGACAGGACCAACTTGGCTTGTCCTGCCACCGGATCAGAGGCTAACATCTTCATTGGCTCGATCATCGACTGCGGAGATATCATCACAGGCGGCTCAAGAGACGAGACCACTCATCACCAGCTCGCATGCAGTGTGAATCGCCAAGGTGGACGCACTGCTCAACAGATACTGATCATTGAACAAGCTTCTACAGGTCACAGCCTGGGTCAATTGAGCCGTAAAACGCTTTTAACAGCAGCCGCTACCGAATTCTCCTCAACTAGGACCATAAGAGCTCGAAGAGGCAAGACTGTACTGGGTGAGGTACACTCAACAGCTCTACATTGAGGCAGAAATCAACATTCTAAGGACTGGAAACTCACTGGCAGCAAATCATCGAATGGCGACGTTGACGCCATACCTTGAGAACGACGTCATGCACTTGGGCGGACATCTACGAAATTCAACATTAGATCCGGAGAAGAGAAATCCAATTATTCTTCCACGTCATTCGCCGCTATCATCGCTCATCATCGCCGACGCTAATCAACGGAGTTTCCATGGGGGAATTCAACTAACATTGGCACACATCTGACGGAGGTACTGGATCATCGGTGGACCAGCTCCACTACGCTCGCACATGATAAAGTGCGTTATTTGTGCACGTCATCGAGCATTGAGGGCTCAATAGCTGATGGGGCAGCTAGCTGCGCGACGAGTGATGCCATCAAGGGTCTTCCTCCACTCAGGAGCGGACTTCGCCGGCCCAATGAACGTTCTGAAATGGAGAGGACCGGGAGCAAACAAAACAATGTACAAGGCGTACATCTGTCTATTTGTCTGCTTCGCAACATCAGCAAACCATCTGGAAATAGTAACGGATCTGAAATCGGAGAGATTCATCACGGCGTACAAACGCTTCACTTCAAGACGGGATATCTGTGCGACCCGAACCAGTGACAGGGGACTCAACTGCATCGGGGCAGATAGAGAACTCAGGAATCTTTTCGACCAGGCACCCAGCGAATCGGCTGACATCAGGGATCGGCTAGCATCAGACGGGATACAGTGGATATTCAATCCCCCTCATTCGCTACATATGGGAGATAAGTGGGAGGCCGCTGTGAAGTCTACAAAACATCATCTCAGGACGATCATCGGGACCTCGACATTGACTTACGAAGAATGTACGACTCTTCTGACTCAAGTCCAGGCCATACTCTACTCTCGGCTGCTCTGCACACTCACCAACGACCCGCAAGACACGTCAGCCCTGACACCGGGGCATTTCATCATCCGGGAACCGGTCACGACGGTTCCTGAACCATCACTCCAGCTAATTCCTACGGACAATCTCAACCGGTGGCAATTCATCACCCAGAGGCTCCAAAACTTCTGGGAGCATTAGGCACGAGAGTGCATTTATCGATATCAGCAAATCTACCGGTGGATACAGCCAACGAATCAAATTAACATTGGTTCATTGGTCCTTATTACGAACGAACGGGAACCGCCAGCTGAATGGCTCCTTGCCCGAGTCATCGAAATTCATCCAGGACAGGAAAACCTGACAAGAGTTGTCACACTGAGGAAAGGTCATCAGAAAGTTCAACGGGCAATACACAGACTACCTCCATTGCCCATCAACGCAGATCTACTGGAAGATCAACAGTGAGGACCATTAACTACACTTTGTCACCAGGAGGTGACGCAGGGCGGGCGGGATATTTAAAATCTGACCTAAATGTTGGTTAGATTGTCCCCCGTTCCCATCGGTAATCCTCGACCATTGGCGAGTACGCACAAAGACGTTTATCCGTGCCGAGATGGTCAGTACACCATCGACTCTCATCGGAAACGGCTCATAGAAAATCATCCGGTCGTATATCGGCGCAATCATCGGACATCTCATCGGTCAATTCTCGAAAGTCATCGTTAATTATCGGGAGAATTATCAATATATTTATTTTGTGTTTCTACAGTCCGCTCCGGTACCTCAACTATTTATTTGAATCTCACCCGGTGTAGTTTCCAGTGCACTTTATCATTTAAATTGTAATGATTTTTCTTTGGCCTCAACAAATACTCAATAAACCCTAGCCCAGAAGTCTCGATTATCCAAACACGGCCAACTCATTACCTTCGTTCTCGTAATCCGACAAGTCTGAAACGCCAAAAACCATAACGCTAACACTGGACTTCGGGGACAATCAGCAGCTCATCCAATCCTTATTTCGTGTATTTAGGGCGCCAGCCGATTTTTAGCAACGCGGAATCGACAAACCGCAAACGGAACCGTATTTTCTTAAAACTAAATACTGATTGTCCCCAAAAATCCAATAACGACAAGAAACATATCGCAAACCATACGCAGAAATGTGGATTACGAGGGTACGGGATTTACTCGGCTGCTCAGTGTGCGGGTCGTGGAGAGAGGGGTGGATTCGTGGACGAGAACATCAATTAACAAAACCAATCATCGATCGAGAAACCAATAAACCAATGTCTTAAATTCCAAACGGGATAGGTAAGGTCGACATTGAATAATAAACACAATTGTACTGACGTGTTTCGCTATTGCCGATATTAATACAAAATCGTAAATTCGTACAAACACAAAATTACATGAATGTGACTCAAAATAATTTTAAATACTCTGAAATGATCCATTAAACTCCAAAAGGACTCGAAAGATGCGAATAATAATTTTAAGTATGAAAAAGAAAGCGATCCCAATCCAAAGCTGATAGAGAGAAGCAAAGGTATTGTCCACGAGGGGAACACGAATCCGAGAGAGAGAGACTATAGGAAGGTAGCGTACGTGCGAGAGAGAGAACGGATGAGGTAACTACGCGAAAAAAAAAAAAAAGGAGAGCTCACGAAAAGGTACTAATTTTTCTTATTTTCGACTGTAATTAATCGAATTACGAATTATGGAGCGCCTTTGTAATGGTTTACTTAATTCTTATGCCATTTGTAACCCATTAAAATCGGGAATCTCATTCACCGAAAAGGTAGCAAAAATGAGCTAGGGAGCTTGAATCAGCCACGTGGCTGATTTACCGGAAAGGAGCGTTTCTAACCCGGAAATGGAGGTTTTCTCCATGAAAATAGGTAGCTTACGGTCTCCAATAATTTCCAAAATAATAGGTAGCTTATTCATGAACGTAAGAGAGCTTAGATAATTTTATTGTTCTGGATTCCAACCATAAAGTAAAGATAACTAAAAAGATAGCGTCCCCATGCCCAACCGGAATCCAAAACTCAACGAACGCTAGAGAGCATTAAAACGCGAAAAAGGTAGCTTCAGAACAATTCAGGTAGCATCATTTTTCCTCCAGAACTCTCGTGAGTCGGAGAAATATAAAGAAATAGGTAGCGTAGAATAATTACGTAAAGAGAGCGAAAAAAGGTAGCAAGCAAAAAGGTAGCAATGAAGTAGGTAGCGAGTTGCATCAATCGCCGTAGCGAGACGCCTAAAGCATGAAATTTAGCCTAAAAGTTACGGTAGGTAGCCCTATTACTATTCGGATTTATTCAGGTAGCGTAATTATCATTTAAATAATCTCAGGTAGCTTCCAGGGAGCATTTAGGTTTGTTTGAAGAGTTTTCTGTCCTTCAAACCATGAGTATCGGTGTTGGCGTCATTCCGAGAGGTAGCGACGCCATTCCGCGTGGTCCAACTGCTTTATCGAAAAACGCACTAATTCACTGTTAATCACCTCTAAATAAGTACACGAGTACTTACCATGGTCTGGAGCGTTGATTTTGACTGAATTTGGATCACGGGGCCTCGATAATTACCTCGAAAGAGAACTTGTTCAGGGAGCTAAATCGACTCGTACCTCACTCTTAGTCGTCCGGGTGGATACTGTAATGGCGACTATCGCGTGTGTCCGCTCGGGCCTGTTGCATAGTGGTGGGGAGTCTGGGGGAGACTAGCCCCGTACGGTGCTGACTCGAGTGCCGGAGACGCGAACTATCGATTCCCGGGGTAATTGTGCGCGAAGTATTTAAAGATTTAAATTTAAATTCTCCTATGATTGATTTTAATTATTTTAATTGAACAAAACTGTAATTACTTGAACTCAACGTGAAACTGAGATGGCGGAGCGGGTCTTCACTCCGTCTACGACCGGAATAAGGTAGCTTATCTACAGAGGGCACTCTCCGGAGAGGAATTAGGACTTTACCAACGAAAACTCAAACGCAAACGCAACTTAACTAAATTAAAAACCCAATGGCGATCCGTTTCGACGACTGGGATCGTCTCCACGGCCTTCCAACTGAAAGCCCTAACACTCTCGCTCAAGGGAGCGCAAGCATTTCAACTCGACCTATGTACTCACTCTATCGACAAACCAAAAAGGGTTACGGGAAACACTGGGTAGCACATTATCTTGGCCAAATATTCCACGGTGATATCCTGATCCTTAACCGAATTTACGTAGGAAAATCTCAAAATTACTAAACTTTAACTCAACAAAAATGACTCGAAAAAAAGAAATATCTGCAAAATATCTGGTTTATTTAATGAAGTTATTTAATGAATATTATTCTCAAAATTTAGGGAATCGATTCACGCGATAGGTAACCAATTTAGGTAGTTTTCCGAACTTAAGGTAGCTCTGAAGTAGAGTTAAGGTAGCAGGTAGCTCTAATTCTCCGTATAGATTTTATATCACGACAAAAAGGTAACGGTTTATAAAATCTTACTCTCTCTCTCTCTCTCTCTCTCTCTCTCTCTCTCTCTCTCTCTCTCTCTTTCTATACATAAATACCCTGGAGTTCCGCAGGTGACGAATTCGCCTGGAATTTCGTCACAAAATACAGTGATAATCAACAAACCTCATTTTAATTTATTCTCTGGCAAATCATCCCACTTCACTTTCCCTCCCGACCTCTCTATCATCAAAATCCGAAAAATTTCTAACAGACACATTTCGATTTAAAGGGCGCACTTCAGATGGTGCGGAATTTCAGAGGAGAAAATCCAGATAAATTGGATTCTTTCTTGAAATAAGTAGAGAGCGCTAAAAAAATTGATTCATTCAGAACTTCTAGATCTCCTTTCAGAGGAAATTTTAGGGAGTAAACTGGAGGGTAGCCCCATGAAGCAACTAAAATACAGAACAGTTACGTCGTTTGAGGAATTGAAAACTGAATTGGAATCACTTTTCGAGAAAACGAAAAGTCTTTTGGGACTCCAGATCGAGTTCAGTAAATTGCAGCAAAGGGAAAATTATAATGTCACTAAAAATGTGGGTCGCACGGAAGAAATCACTGTGGATTTTTTGAATGGCTTACTCAGTCTGCATAGTGAATTCAACGAGGGGGAAAAATTAGCCTCCAAAACACTTATGATGATTAGCGAAATTGATGTTCGAGCAAGGGCTGTGGGAGCAGTTGCAGAATTTATTACGAGCACATAATTTTGAAGCTCTCCATGGAGCTGGTGTAGAGCCATAGAAGGAGAAAGAACCATCTCTGGCACTCACAAGGGGAAAAACGGAGGAATAACGGTAATTCACAAAAACTCTACAGAGGGAAACTGGACTTCGCTTGAAAGCTCAACAACTAGGAACTCTTTTACCTGCGGGCAAGCAGGCCATCATTTGAAGGAATGTCGCAATGGTGGATAACTTAAGTCGACATTACCAGTTGCATCGAGAAACCTGCAAGTATGCAGGTGACGAAGTTACGGACTGCCGTAAATTGAAGAAAAGATTGGGGATGCCGAATTCGCAAAAAGTTCCATTGGAATCAACTGGATATAAGGATGATATTGCCTTGAGTTTCAAAAATAATAACTCCATCAGCAGCAATAATAACAACAATTCAAGAAAGAAATGCGAGAAGGTAGACCCTGATAAAGCACTGCCAGTGAGAGCCTATCATGTGATGATGGTAAAACCTTCAGAGAGGATGAAAAAGTCCTCAAGTGAAAATAAGGGCGCATTGATAACACCAGCGAAATCTGCAGAAATGAAAAAATTGGTTTTGCTGAAAACAGCCGAATTAAAGGCCTATGGTGTATCTAGCTGATTCTGGAGCAAAGGCATCTCTCGGGAGGAGAGATAAACTGAATGAAAATTTTAAAATTTCACCGGGGAATTGAGTACTGAGGAAAATTTCCAAGCAGGATGTGGCAACTTCGGGAGAAGCTGTTCTATACTTGAAAATTGGGAGCAGATGCCTGGGATATGTGTTTTAGGTGGTTCCTGAGCTTTTCTGTGTATCGGGAGAATTCTAGGCGAAGATTTCCTGTCTTTACCTAGCCTAGAGGTGGTAACAATTCATAGAAAGGCAGTGATTTTCAACGGACGACCTTTCGATCTGTTTCACGATTGAGAACCTACAAAAATCGCAGCTAGAAGTGAGGTATTACTTCGAGTACCCACACGAAGC